AACACGACACCACGGCCTTTACCATAATCACGAGCTAGGAAACTCTTATATTATATAATTGAAATGTACAAGAGAGTGTACAAATGAACACGTGTCTCGCTTCACTCTTTCTAGTTAAGAATACTTTACTATTGCTCACTTATGAGAAACCTTTCTTTCCATGCCTCAAATGAAAGGCTAAAACATCTATTTATACTACTCACAAAGGGGTAGGGTAGACTTTCTCTATAATCTTCCACTTACCTCTCTACATGCTAGATTCTTTCAAGAAGACTCCACAAACTTTCATGGTCTTCTTGAAGAACCTAGATGACTTCACATGAATTTTTAGAACACTTTGGACTACTCAACAAGATAGTATAATATTTTTCTAGATAAGTTCACATTGTTCTATAAAATTCTACCCATGTCCACATAGTTCTAGAATTCTCTAGAATTTTACAAAGCATTTGGTAGCAGAAATAGGTAGAGTTCGTCACAGGGATGGATCTCGTCTTAATTACTTTGATGGTAGTAGTGATATTAAAGGCATTCAAGACCATGCTCTTTGATGGGATGATGGACTTCACTATGGAGCTTGGGTCGTACATATATGGAGCAAGGTGATGGGATACACTGTGTGGGTGGTCCTCAATCTAGTCACATGCCTTGGTTTGTTGTTGATGTTTTGTATCAAAAGTCTTGAGTGAGTGAGAGCATCATCGAGAGAGAAGAGTGAGGGTGAGGGTGAAATAGTCCAATATACATAGAGTGAATTGAGTTACTCGTTTACTTGTAAAATATCTCTAGTACATTTCAATTGTATAATACAAAGTAATATTAACAGATTGAGTCTTTGTACATTGCGAGGGTGTGGGTGAGTGTACAAGAGTCCTATGAGATCGTGATCCTGGAAGAGTCCAGAGGTCATGTTTTCCCCAACATTTCGTCCCTAAAACTTTGACAACTTTTTTATTTGGATGTCTTATTAACTTTGGCATTTTCCCTTTTAAGTAAGAACTTGCAGTTCCAGTTAATTCTCTCTTTATCTTCACAAACCACTACCACACAGTTTTTACTTTATTAATCCTCATGTCGGTCAAACTTGGCAAAGTTTTAAGGAACATAGGGAGTACATTGTTGTTCAGAATTCAAATAAACCTGCATGCATTAATTAAAGAGATATTACCCAAAATGGGACTAAAAAGGTTTGGAAATTCCAAAATAGGACTTCCATGTTTTTATTCTCAAAATAGGACTAATTACTGTCATGTTTTGGCAGTACCAGCCTTCAAACATGGCAATATTTTCCAAATTTGGGAGTAATTAGTCTTATTCTAGGAATAAAAACATGACAGTCCTATTTGGGAATTTTCAAACTTTTTAAGTCCCTGATAGGGTGAATTTCCTATTATGTATGTTTGTATTTTTAACTAGTTTTATTAGTTCTAGTTGTGGAAATTACACACTTTTGGTGTAATACTTTATTTTCATTAATTATTTGTAATTTATTTAGATTAGGATTATATTGAGCTTAGAACAGATCAAAATCATTCCAAGAATCAAAGGATGGATCCTAAAGACCAAAGAATGTGCAAAAAGGAGAAGATCAAATGAAGATTTTGAAATTTGTTCAATACTCGGTCGAGTATTGCCAATACTCGGTCGAGTATTGGCCTGATACGCTGGTCAAAATCAAATCTGGGAGCAAAAGAACGTGGCTGAATATTTGATGAAAATCCTGTCTCATACTCGGTCGAGTATTGGCAATACTCGGTCGAGTATGCCTATTTTTCACAATTTCCTGGAAATTTCCTCACATACTCGGTCCAGTATCCCATATACTAGATCGAGTACAAAACCCTGCCACCTCCATTTTGCTATAAATACACCCCCTTTCCTTCACATTAAAGACACTCCTTCTTCCATACTCTTAAGCTCAGTTTAGAATAGTATTTCTTTTATACACTTATAGCATGTTTAGTCTCCAAATGAGGAGCTAAACTTCCATTTCTTGGTGTTGCTCTTGAAGCTTGTTGATTATTAAAGTTGTGAGTTATTTTCTTAACTTCTTCTCTTGAATATTAATTATTCTCTTAATCTATCTATATATTAATGTTGGGAGTGTTGCTAAGATGACAATTAGTTAACATCTCGACATTAGTTATAGTAGTATTTATTTTCTTCCTCTATATATTAATGTTGGGGAGTGTTGCTAAGATGACAATTAGATAACATCTTGACATTAGTTATAGTAGGATTATTCATATTTAATCTTCTTCCTTGAACATTAATTCTTCCCTTAATCTATCTCTATATTAATGTTGGGGAGTGTTGCTAAGATGACAATTAGTTAACATCTCGACATTAATTACTACTAGAAACGATCAACGAACCGATGGTTAATCGTTGATAGTTTCACAAGTAAGTAACTTCGGTTTATTAATGCACGGTCGTGGTTAATAAACTTAAGAGGGATTAATTTTGTTGGTTAAACCGAAACCGTTGTGTTGAGGTTATCAATCTCAATTGATTTCATCAAGGAGTTAAGAGATTAAATGCTACTATCAAGTCGGTATATGACGTTGTTCTATACTTGACTAATAGTTAGGGTTATTAATGAACGGTCGTTGTTAATAACTTTCCTCGATGAATTGGATATACTCCTCGATTGAGTATTCGAGAGGAGATAAGTTATAGATATAACAATGATCGACTGAAATATATCAACAAGTGGAAAGTAGCAATGTCAAGTCCTTTTTATCTTTGAATTAAATCACATATAACTCGTTCATCTTCGTGTTTAAATTAAATTAAATCTCTCAATCAAAACCCCCCTTTATTTACTAGTTACATAAAAAGAGAATTATTTCTTTCCCTGTGGATACGAACTCTACTTCACCTATACTACGTGTAAGTGTTAGTATTGAATTTATTTTGACGCACCGTGAAAAAGTGCCCGTCAGTCCCCTTTCGAGAACTTTCCCTTAATTAAACCGAACCCAACAAATTGTTATCTCCTTAAAGACGAATTTGCCCGCAACACAAGTAGCAAATGCCTCCTAGGATAGAACGGTTTTTACGTTCACGAAGGATATCGATGAACTCAAAGATGCAACGTTAATGAAGTAGTAAGTGGGAGAAGGAATTGAAGAGAATCAAAATCATAAATTTCAGATTGATGGAAATGTAGGCAACCATGGGTAGGGGTGGAGCCGGATTGGGCTGGTTCCGATTTGGGTCTGGGCCCGACCGGGCTTTTAATTGAGAATGGGTGAACCGGAACCGGCCCGGGTGGCCGGCGGGTCTGGTACGGGCCGGGCCTCGGGCCACCTTTTTTTTAAAAACTTTTCTAATTAATCCCTGACCCTCCCTCACCCCCACCGCCCCCAAACCACCCCAAATGGCCCAAAACACCTAGCCCAACCCAGAAAAATAAAAGAAATTGAAAAAAACAAAAAAAGGCCCGGAACTGACCTGGAGCGGAACCGGGCCCAGCCGGTTCGTCTATTGGGTGACCCGAGCCCGCACTGTAAAACCACCGGGTCGGGCCTACCCGGACCGGTCCCTGCCGGGCCATTGGTTCGGACCGGTTCCAAATAGTGCCGGTTCGGGCTGGTTCCGGGTCGGGCCACCCGGCCCGAGTCCATGCCTAACCATGGGTATATATAGAGCTCTCACTAGGAGACACTACACCCATATGACACATTTAGAAAGAAAGGTCTTGACACTTCTTTTAAAAACTAAAAGGTTGTGTCTATTGCCAAACATTATCCAAAATTGAGTGCAAACAGATATAATTATCTTTAAGTCATATGCTTGAGCGGTTAGTTTATGACCCTAATCCAGAACCCGACATGGCCAGCCGAATGGTGGCGGTGTGTGTGTGTTAGATATAAATATATAATTTCACGCATATATTTGGAGGACAATTTTTTATTCATTTCAAAATGATCTTCTACAAATAATATATGGGTTTATTCATCTGGTATAATATGTTAGGATTTAGTCCTATTAAAATAGAGATGATGGTGACTGCATATTTTTGCTCCAAATTAAATGACTATAATATTAATTTGTAAAACCATTTTTCCCAATATACATTAGTGTTCATTTAGAGCCTGTTTGGTAACATTGTTTTTCAATTTATCAACCAATCTTTTCACCAAACACATAATTTTTTATTTCACGCACTGAAATGTGTAATAATAAGAAAAAATATGGTTGAAGTTACTTTTCTGGCGGTACCTGCTGAATACTGTAGAGGAACATCTTAGCAAATTTTACATACTACCTCCTCCCCTAAATGTTCTTCCAAAATAAAGTGGCACGCGGATTAAGAAAGTGAGAATTATGTGGTGAAGAGTTGTGCAGAGGAAAGAGAAATGCTGTGAACCACAAATTCTTTGCAAAAAAGAGAAAGTGAAGTTCTTTATGGGACGGACGAAAAGGAAAAGTTGAAAGTTCTTTTAGGGACGGAGGGAGTATAAATTTTCAATGTGGGGTTTTATTAATTAAATATACTTTAAATTTAATTTTTCATATATCGTCAGAATCAACCAATACAATCGATACAACCGACTTCACCGTTCGCAAACGGACTCCTAGGATAGCTAATTAGGATAGCAAACTTTAAAGGGTCTTGCTAGAGTTACACGTTTTGTGTACACGTTTGGTGTACACATATCTGCCCTTCATAGACAACTTGTCTGTGACAGACAAGTTGTTTGTGAAGGACAGACATGTGTACACCAAACGTGTACACAAAACGTGTACCTAAAGCATTTTCCAACTTTAAAATGTTGCAACTAGCCTGTCTAGCCAAGTAGCTAATTAAAAATGATTTAGCTTAGCTGGGGTGTTAAGCTTAGGATAGCTGAAGAACTATTGTAAAGAGTACAAATCTGAAGTCGAGTCTGACAGATTTGTAATTAACGAAAAAGGAACCATTCTGATACCTATCAACTCTCTGTTGCAAAAGATATCTTCAAGATTCACACACCAAACCCAAACCAAACGTTCTTAATTTTATTTTGTTTTCTCTCCTTCTCCCAGTCCCCACATCCTTTTCTTTTCTTTTTATTTATTCCTCTGTTCTTCTTTACCTCCTTTTCGACTGGTGGAGTAGATACCCTTTGCAGGAATAATTACATATATGTGTATAAATATATAAATATATGCAGACCAGACCATCATCAACTTTTGCAAACAGTGAAGGAGAGTACTAAAATGCAGAGCTCCTCAGATATGTTTTTTAACTCTGGTTTTTACCTCAGGTTTGACCTCACTTTCTCCTCTTCCCCTGTTTCTTGGGTGTTTTTTGGGTACTTGAACTCAGAGTATTTGAAAAAGAGTAACCTTTAATTTGTGTGTTTTGGGTAGAGGTGATGACGGTGGGAGTGGCGGCGGGCGTTTATTTGACGTCGGAGAACTATCCCACTCTGCTCCATTTCACCACCATGAAGATGCTCTTCTCGATTGTAGCAGAAGTATTCAATTCCCTCTCAGTCACTTTCTCTGTTTTTGTAATTTTGTGTATATTAAGTAAATTAATTTACCCATGCATGTAAGTTGAAATTAAATTAAATGTGGATGTTTTGATGAAATGAAATCTTTTATATATATATAGGCTCAATTTATAATGAAATGAGACGAAGCAATAATGCATCCATTGTCTCTCCCAATAGCATGCACTTTGGCGAAATCAACACTGTAAGTTTTCTTCGCTCTGAAAATAAAAAATGGGTTTTTGATTCCTATATTATCTTGACGTATTTCATAGGTTTAATTTGTTGGTTTTTGTTGTGATGGGTGAAATGGGTATGCAGAGCATTGGGTCATCGGAGACGGGGGTGGTGGACGCAGGAGGGGGGTTTATGGTGGAGAGAGGCGGTAGAAGGGCGGTGGCGAGTTGTGGTGGCGGGGCTGTGGGATATGGGAATGTTGAGAACTGTGGAGACTCTGGGACGGCGGAGCACAGCCAGCAGACGGATGACACTTCCACCGATGTTGACACGGAGGAGAAAGTTCAGGTACGTATTATTGTATACATTTAGTGCGCCGGCCGGCTGTTGGCCGGAACATATGAAAAATGGTATATTTGCTAAAATTTTGAAGTTACAAAAATAAGTGTGCAAACTAACAGGTTTTCATTCAATATTATTCGTACTTAAATAAAATTGATCGACCAAAATATGTCTTAAGTTGTTACAAATATATCATCAGTCATAAAAGTTGCTATTATGTTCACAAAAGTTGCTACTCCACAAAAGTATATAAAAGTTAAGATATTTTTGTCAATTGCTTTTCATTACTTGGGAAACCAATTTGGCCACTTTGTAGAATATACTCTCGTATTACACTATATATACAAGTATACATGCAGAGTAGTGTTTAATTGTTCGAAGTATTGAGTTGTTAAAACTCTAGGGTCAAGAGACCTTAGAGTAAAGTCTTCTTGTAAAAACCTTCAAGTGTTTTTATATCCAAAGCAATATAATGACTCAATGAACACAGTTTTTATCGAATAAAAATAATTTAATATTACAAGCTAGGAGTTTTTATATAATAGGTATTCTAAGTCTTAAACTATCGAAATTATTTTAGATTTTACTTCTTTTAAATCTCCAATTAAGTACTATGTATTACACTATGTAAGGTTATATATTAACTTTGAAAACTAAAAGTTAAGGGGGGCAAAAACATATATATCTAATTAAAGTATAAAATTTTTATGAAAATACTACATATAGTAGAAATTTTTGAAAGTCCAAGGGGTGGTCTCCCCGCGCCCCCTTGGATCCGTCCCTGTGAACACTATATACGGAATATGTGATGAGTAATATTTTAAACATTTCTAGATTCATTTATGCATTCTTAATTCTTTACTACACAGAACATATTTTTATTGTATTATTAAAACGAAGTGTGCAAGTATACATATACGGAGTGTGTATTCCAACTTTTTTTTCAATGGGGAGGTGCGTACACGCTAACTGAAATATTAAAAAGACCCTTTCCCATTAATAATAATTGAAATGTAAAAGATAAAAATATGATTTATTTTAATTTTCTTTTAAAACTCATCATCTACCAGATCACCGAGCAATACCCTATAATGACTCTTATCCGTTTACTATACAAAGTTGCTAGTCATATTTTTCTCCAAAAAACATTACTGATCATTTTTTCGTCTGTTTAGTAATATGCATGTCATTTTTTCATTTAAAATCGTAGAAAATGATTCTCTCTTTTCAAATTAAACTTTGAAAACTTAAAACTAAGAGAAAATCACACTTTTCCTTTAAAAAGGGAAAACCACACTTTTCCTTTAAAAAAGGGAAAACTGCACTTTTGGTCCCTCAACTAGTCATCAAATTGAAATGTCAAATAAATGTCACCTGAATTGACAAATGTGTTGTAAATGGTCCCCATCAAATTTATTGGTAGTACCGAATTGGATATGGATTATGAACGCCAACATTTACCACTAAATTCACTGGAGATAACATTTACAACACATCTGTCAATTCGGGGTGACATTTACAATCTAAAAAACACGGGTTTGACATTTCAATATGGTGATTAATTGAGGGACCATAAGTGCGATTTTCCCTAAAACTAATAAAAGCATAGCATCATTTTTAAATATTTAATACTTTTTCCAAAATTTAATTTATCTAATATTTATGTATATGTACTCACAAATACTTTGATCTATAAACTAAAATAGATCTATTAAATTCAAATGTCGTGATTTTAATTTTTAATGTCTTTGTTCGAGCCAAAATCTATGCCTTTGTTCAAAATTGACCCGAGATTATTAAGTACTCGTATAATAATGTCATACTTCTTTTTATTTGTAGTATTGAAAAGTTTTTTTTAGTACTACGTATGTATCCTGTATCTATTTTAGCAACTTCATCCTTTAACTTTAGTATGCTTTCTTTTACTCCTGAGTACTTTCTCCCATTTTCCCTATCAAGTACGGAGTACTATTTTACTTTACCTTTTACTTTGTTTGAGGTAAAAACAATTTTAAATGTGATTAGTTGAAGGAGATACTCCGTATATGGCTGATCGTCAGAAAGAGACAAAAGACTAATTACACAAAATTGATTATTTAATCCCATGTTTATTAAAAGACAAAAGACTACTAGTATTAAAAGTGAGCAATGTTTATTTATTTAAGAAAATTTGATTTGATATTTTGTGGGTAGGGCCGCGGGGCTAAAAGGCAGATAGTAGAACTAAAATGGATAGGGGCGTAAAATTAAAAGAATACAATTCCACTCTAAAGTAAATCTCTAAAATTACTTTTCTGAAAAAGCATCAAATTGGCAGAGGCAGATCTGCGTAGGTACTTGGGTCTATCCTTACATACAGAGTAACACTCATTATTAGTCCTTCCCTCTCATTGTATTTCTGTTAACTTTTTTATTTGTTCCAAAAACTTTGACCTATACTTGCCTTTAAAGTTTATATCTTTAAACTTTTGTACTATATAAAAAATTGTAACAACCATCTAATAGTGTGTTTTGAACATCTACACTGCTTAGCGTCTATGAAAAACTTGTATACCAAACACCCAACTTTTTATCAAACAACTGCTATTTTTTCTCTTAAATCTATTCGATCATTAAAACCAACAGTTACTACAAATCTCAAACATGTCCTAACATGTCCCAACAGTTTCTTTTAAGTATTTTTTCGGATACTTGTGCCAAACATGCCCTAACTCCCTATGATATTCTTGTGGTATTATCTTCATGTTCCTACATGAAAAGTGGAAACATGAGTTTTGAAAAGTCGTATTATGAGAAGTCCAAACACTAAGTAACACTCTCCTTGTATTTTACGGAGACCAACATTCTCCTTGTGTTTTATTAATTGTTTCATAAATATGTTTTTGGTTGGATTAAATTTTTTTGATCCGTGGTTGTTTAAGTTTTTGGCTTGTAGATGTATCTAGTATTTTAACTTTTACTATTGTCTAGATCTGGTTTGATTTAGTTTGTTTAAGTGTGGTTCTATTTGATCTGTTCAAGTATATGATCTAGGATTGAAAGAAGCTTCTTTACAAACATTCTAAGGTCTTTTGGGAATGAAATTATACTCCCCCTGTCCTACAAAACTTAACCATGTATTTCTTATTTTAACTTGGTGTGTCATTACACTAAAAATTTGTAAATATTTAAATTTGATGTTCATTTAGAGCGTTGGCGTCACGCATGGTGCTATAATAGGATTAGAGAAGCCCAAAGGAAAGCTGGGGGAGCAAAAGGTACCTCACTTCTCTCTTATTATCTTCAAATAGCAAACCAAAAAGTTTTTTTTCTAATTGTTAAGAAAATGTGGGGAGTGGAAACTGCAAATGTAATATTTTACAAACTTGCTTCGCGTAATGCTCGTATCTGCATACGTGGCCGTACACATCTAAACTGTTTATCTTGTATCTGTATACGTGGCCGTACACATCTAAATGGTTTCTAATACCAACCATTTAATACAAACTGTTTAATACAAATTCTGTGTGATACTACGAGTATCAAACACATTTTTTGTGATGCTGGACAATTTTTTCCTCCAAATTTTGTCGGTATCACATGTTGTTTGATTAAAAATTCACCAAATTTCTTTGTGACGCAGACAATTTGGGGGGTACACATAGAGGCATGCATACTCTTTCCCAGTAGTTTCCGTGCTTCATTTATTGTAGCTAATTAATGTTTTCTGCTGCATTTCCCTTCCCTGCAGTCTCTTCGTAGACTAGCTCAGAACAGAGAAGCTGCTCGTAAAAGTAGATTGAGGAAGAAAGTAATGCATGGGATTTTCATATATTGTTATACATAATTTACTTCAGTTTCAGAAGCAAAAATAGTCTAGTAGCTAGCCCTGACTATGTGGAATGAAAATAATATTGAATTGGGTCAAGCCTGACTTAAAGTACTTTGTTGTTTTTGTTGTATTAAAGGCATACGTTCAACAGCTGGAGAATAGTAGAGTAAGGCTAACACAACTAGAGCAGGAACTTAAGCTTGCCCGCCAACACCAGGTATGCAGCTGTTTCTCTTCTCGAGGTGAAAATGGCCCGGGCCGGATACCCGCTTTTTGAAAAAGATATTGTAGAAAACATAAAGATTGTGATTCAAGTACTATCAATTAAGTACTTAATCTGGTTGAGACTTGCAAACATTTTGTAGGACATGTTAACCATTCTCCATTAATTCAAGTACTATAAATTTGTGAACATACTTTTAGGATTTTGAAACAACTCAAATTTTAAGCTTATCTTTTAGAATGTAGCTGAATCTCAATGCATTTAGGGGTTGTTATTTTTTTATTCATCAAGTCTTGTTTGTTTTCCATCATTTGCAATGGAGCCAAAGATTCACTATTTTTGGCTTGAGAATACGATGGAATAAAGCAAAATGACTCACTAAACTGTAAGCGCTTCTTTTTTATGAAGCAGCGTCAGTCCATGCAATTTTGGACGCAATTTTAACTATGGGTCATACGGAAACAGTCTCTCGGTGCTTTAGTACAGGGGTAAGACTGCGTACATCCGACCCCCTTACCCCACCATAGGTGGGAGCCTTTGCGGCGCTGGGGTAAATGATGGTGAAATGATGATGATCAAATCTTTGTTTGAATTGAAATGTTTCTTCACTTTAGTCAATTGAATAACAGATTATTTAAGATTATTTACTTTGTATCGATTTAAATAATTAATTTATTCTTTAATGTTGGTGCATATTGGATGAAGATATAAGAATTTTGGTTAAAACAAAGAAACACATGTTTGCTTGGTTTAGGTTTAAAAAGACATCATTTTGGGTAAAACTCCAATTCCCAAACAACTCAGTTCTGTACATGTCTTAGCAAGTCAAACATCCTCCAAATGAATGAAGTCGAATTTTCAATTAAATTGTAATTGAAAATAAGCTCATTTAATATTTTTTGTCATGTTTCAAATGACCACATTCATACAGGGAGCATATGCTGCTGCATCTGGATTTGTTGGAGATAAAAGCCATTCTTCTATTGGAAATGGTTAGCGAGCAAAATCATAACTTATATCTTTTGTGCTCTGACACACGTTTACATTGATGTTTATTACTCCCCTGTCACTCAAACAAAGCCCAGTTCTTTATTTGGATGTGCACTTGTCTTTTACTTCTGAGTTTACCCCTTCCATTTAAAGTGGTTAAAAAAGAGAAATGAAAATAGATTGTGAGGTTCTCTTTAAATGTTATTGAAATAAAACTTATGAATAAAAAGAAAACAGATTAGTATTTTTGTGTAATTTAGAGATTTTGACAAATTTACTTGAATGCTATTTCATAACATTTAGAAACATGATTTTGTTCTATTAAATTTGTTACTTCAAGTTGTCATTTGCATGATTAATTTAAAACACAGGAGGATTTCATGCATTTTTTAAATAAAAAAGGCTAATGCACATAATTTGCATATCATGAAGGCATTTGATGCATTGAACTCGATAAAAATATTACTAAAATGTAAATCGAACAAAATAATGATCGCTAAAGTTGCTATTATTACCAATAAAATAATATTATCGTTCAAATGTCATAAATTTGCTAATGTTTTTAAATTAGTATATAGTGGTCATTATTTCATAACTTAATAGTTTTGGTTAAGTGGCTTAATTACCAACTATTATGTGATTCTGTATATACTGTTTTCTAGGTGCTTTGGCATTTGACATGGAATATGGTAGCTGGCTTGATGAGCATCAACGGCTAGTGAGCGACCTGAGATCGGCTGTACTCTCTTTCATGGGAGATAATGAATTACGTCATCTTGTTGACGGAGTGATGTCACATTACGATGACCTGTTTAAGATCAAGCGGATTGGTGCGAAGGCCGACGTTTTTCACGTGCTATCGGGAATGTGGAAGACTCCCGCTGAAAGATGCTTCATGTGGTTGGGCGGCTTTCGTTGCTCCGAGATTCTTAGGGTATGTTTGGATTCCACGAAATGCATGAAATTCGCGATGTAATTTACTATGAAAAAAACGATCTAGTACTACATAAAAATTGTGGATTTTTTCAAAGCAGGGGTGGAGCTAGGGGGTGCCCAGGCTAGGCCCACCCCAAATTTGAAAAATGTCAATATTTTTAGTGTAAAAAATTCCGTGTAAATTTTTTCCCAATAATATTCTTTGTACCGGCCCAGTCTAGTCCAGTGTCCTTGCTACGCCCCTGTTTCAAAGTATTAATGAAGCCTAACAAAGCCTTATGGTGTGCCTCTTGAAATGCAATGGAAACAGAAAAATTGCCAATGAAGGCTATTTTTGTGGTCATTTGACATTGGTGAATGTAAATGAAACTAAAATTTCAAACATGAATAATGTTTTTAAATAGCTGCATAAATTTAGAGTTTTTAAGTTATAGAGTTTATAGAGTTGGGACTAATATTTCGTTTTCCCCACATTTAATTCCTTCTAATTTCTCCTATATATTTTGCTGTTTGGTTGGGTAAATTTCAGATACTAGTGAGTCATTTGGAGCCATTGACAGAGCAACAATTGGTGGGGATATGCAATTTGCAGCAATCTTCACAACAAGCTGAGGAAGCACTGTCACAAGGAATGGAAGCTTTGCAACAACTGCTTGTGGAGACGCTCTCATCGGCGTCTCTCGGTTCCGGGAATGTTGGCGATTTCATGGACCTTATGGGGATTGCTATGGGGAAGCTAGCCACCATAGAGAACTTGCTCTATCAGGTAATTGATACCAACCCATAAATTACTTCCCTTCTACTTATTTTAGTTTACAGATTTAGAACATTAGTGCATTAAACATTACAACTAAATAAAATGGGATGAAGGAAGTATAATTTGGTTCATTTCTACTCATTAATATGTGTTTGATCAATAGGCTGATCTACTGAGGCAGCAAACATTGCACCGATTGCACCGAATCTTGACGACACGTCAAGCAGCTCGCGCCCTTCTGGCGATGAGCGACTACATGTCTCGACTCCGTGCTCTCAGCTCTTTATGGTTAGCTCGGCCTAGAAGCTAGCTGATCATGAAACAGCTTTATTACTAACCACTGTCTCCTAATGACTCAAACACCACCTTGAGAGTTGTGTAATTACTATTTTCAGTAATCTAACATAGATTGAGATTTTTAGTGGTTGAATCATTGAATGGAATCTGACCAAGAAACTGGCTGCTAAACAAGGAGTCGTCAAACGTTGTTGTCTCGTATATTTAGCTCTCACCAGATTATGTCATTCATGTTTGATGAGATTAAATTATGGTAAAAAAGTCAGATAATTATCCTTCATGTTTCTCGATCGTTTTTCTGTGGATGTTGCGCTAAGACTTGTCATTTTTAATTTGTTCATGACTCGTAGAAAAACAAAAACTTGCCGTTTGACAATATTGTTTTTGGGCATATTAGTTTATCAACCAATTTTTTCACTAAACACACAACTTTTGTTTTTACACGTTGAATTGTGTAATAAACAGAAAAAGTAAGGTTTGAGTTATTTTTGTGGATGTATTGACTTAAGTTACCGTAGATAATTATTTTAGTTATTTTATATACTAGTATATCATCAGATTCAGTCAATGCAGTCACTTCAATTAAAATTTCATAAATTCCATCAGAATCAGTCAAATCAATCAATTATGTGCTATGAATTTGATAGCAATGCTATCAAATAGGCTCTTATTCGTTTCAATTTTTGTTAGACTTGAGAAGAATTAAAGTATTAAACAGCTGAAAGTTGTCTATTTGTTTATGCAACACTCGGTTTTATAATATACATTTTTAGTTTTAGAACTCGTTTGGTGTTTATATGTTAAATTTTTACACGCGAAATAATCAAATAATTGAAAGCAAAGTATCACTTTCTATATAAAATATATCATGCAAGTAATTATTTTATATCTTAATAAAAGGCTTTAATAACTTCAATACTTTGTACTAGTATACTTTGTTGACCATCATTATTTTCTTACATCTTGTGAATATCAGAAGTGTAAAATAGCTTTATATTTTTTTAAAAGATGTGCCAAACACAAAGAGTTTTTCCCCAAAATAATGTTAAATAAATAAATATTTTCAAAATTAGTATTAGGTTAAAAGTATTTTCCAAAATAATGCTCAAATAATCACAGTTAAGAGAACTACCAATTGAAGTGACAGCTTTAAAGTAAGAAAACAAGGCAAGTAACAAGCCCAATGAAAGAGGAAAATGCCACTCAAGAGTCCCACCAAATAAAATCTCGTGTAAATTTTAAAAGAGTAAAACTTTTTAATTTGTGCGATGATTCTTACAAAAGATGTACTCCCTCCGTATCAAATTAATTGACCCGCTTTCCTTTTCGGAACGTATCAAAATAAAAGTCTCATTTCCCTTTTTGGAAATAAACTCACCCAAAATGCAGCTACAGTACTGCTACAGTACCAAAACCTCATACTTTACATATGTTTGCCTTAAACTACATGAAAAAGCATATGCGTCAATTAATTTGATACGGAGGGAGTATCAAATTTCAAAACTTTATACTGTGTATTATTTTTTCTATAAGACCAATATTAATTATACAAAAATAAAAACTCATTTGATACTTTAAAGAATATCTATATTTTAAAAGAACTATATTTTTTTATTTGTACTCCGATTATTACTAAAAATACATCCAAATTCATTAACTTTTATTATCTTTCATATGATATCAATGTTGCATATCTAAAAAATAAAAAAATATACTATTAAATTTTGCAATTTAGGATTTTTTGTTATTGTGCGCACAATTAATTAGGAGTGAGGGCTTAAAATAAAACTCCATAAATTCCAACAATTCTTTTTATTCTTTGCGCCAAATCTGTAAAAAATTAACTCCGCACATTCAAAAAAAATTAAAAACTTTTTTAATCCAATGTCTTTTGTCTTTTAAAACTTGTCTTTTGTTTTTTAAAAACTTTTGTCTTTTGAATTGTTATAAACTTTTTCATATTATACCAATATTGCATAAAAGATAATAAAAAAAATAACTTGGCACTTTAAAAATAACTGTTGGCTTAAACTTTTGTATTTTCGAATGACATGTTCTTCAATTTTTTTTTTAATCAATATTCATTTCTTAAATAGTTTTATCAATGTAGAATCCCCTCTTTTTTTAAAGCTTTATAACTCTGTTATTTATTGTTTATTACCTCCTTCCCTTAAATCTTTGGCAAAGTTGGCCGGCACGGAGAATAATAAAGTAAAAACTGTGTGATTGAGGTTTGTGCAAAGGAGAGAGAAATAACAGAAACTACAAAATAATTGATTAAAAGGGAAAGTGACAAAGTTTTTTGGGATGTCTCAAAAATGAAAGATGATAAAGTTTTAAGGGACGGAGGTAGTATTATTTTAAAACATTTATTGAAATTCATAATTTTTTATATAATTTTTAATATGAAACCAATATTGCATGTACAAACCAAATGTTGACATCATTGGACGTAAGTTTTTCTTAAATAGATCCAAATATAAAATTAAGATCTCATGATTATGATTGTTATATTTTCTAGTCATCTAATTTTGTTATAAACTGTTTGAGAATTTGATTTATTGATAGAGCATGGTTGCCCGTAGGCCGTAGCCATATATTTTGGAATAGTTTTGAAGAAGTTTGTACCTAGGTTGGGTGATAGTCTAAATCCGAGATTTTTTTTAACCGCAATTTGAAAACAACTGAAAGATGTAAAACAAATTGTAAGATACTGCGTCCCAAAAAAATTGGGTCCAAAAAACTGTAGATTTTTTCTCTCCAGATTTTATGTATACAATATTGAATTATTGATACCATATGAATAACCATAAAAAATTGTGCATATCAATATATATTTATAATGCAAAACTTAGAACAAATAAAAAAATTATAAAATTTTTAAAAAATGGGGGAAGTTTTGCTTGAGGTCCCGCAACTAATTTTCCATTTCCTTTCCTGCCCTTTTTGGAACGGTTCTTCAAAACATACTTTTTATCTCATTTTCTCTCCATGTGAGCGTGTGGTATGTTATTTTCCTAGCAATGTCTAGAGGCTGTGCGTTTCTAATCGGGGTAATCGATTTGGTGAAACTTTTTCAACCTTGTTGTTCTGATCTTTCAAATACTCGCCCACCACCTGAACCACCGCCCCACTCTGGGAAGAAGAAGATGATCAAGCGGATCTCCTTTTTGGTGGCTGGTCGAACTGATGCTTCAAGAAATTTCTACTCGACTGATTTCCCTTTGTTGGTTACTGGTCAAACCAATTCTCCCTTTCCGGTGGCTGGTGAAGCCGGATCTTTTAGTTATAATTTTTTAATTTCTCTGTGGAGTAGCAAGAAGATCAGCAAAGCTGTTAGACTAGACTACATTATTGCGGGGTTAGCGATCTGGAAGGATTCATTGAATCTGTTCCGTTCTATGTCTCATCTCATTATAGCCTCAGGCTATTCATTCTCTTGTATTTTTGCTATCGCTTAATAATTAATTAGTTATTTGATTTTCAAAAAATCTCATTTTCTCTCACAAACTCATCATTATATGATTTGCACAAATGCAAATCATATAATTAAGAAAGGGAAAATGGACAAGGGGTCTGTAGGATTTTTGATGCCCAAAACAAAGAATGACTAGTGAGATCAAATAATACTTAAAATTAATAATGAAATTAAATATGAAATAATTAGAGAATTATAACACCGTTTTTTACTAAATGTAAGAGGTAATAAATAAATAAAACTATTAAAGCACTACATAATACCCTATTCTTCTTGACTCTTGGCGTGTAAAATTTGAAAGCACATCATTACAATCAAGAGTAGACAACTCTCTTTTTCTATGGATAATATAGGGAGTTCACACTTTTCTTGTGACATTGTTGAACAGTGATAATTTTTATCAACTTCAACATTGGAAAACTTCTTTCAGCCGATGCCATTGTCACCGGAATAATAGTTAACAATATTATTTAGGCAATCCAAGCATGCGAAAAAGAAATATACATCTCTCTAATATACTCCAAACTTCGTATTCATAGTTTATCACATTTTACATAATATGTGACAAACTCCAATCAAGTTAATTCATATGTGCTAAGTAGGGGTGACATTTCAGTGGGGGACAATGCAATGGGACGGGTTTGAGAGTAACGGGGATGGGGAGAACTTTTAAGAAATGGGGCGTCAGATGGGAGAGTCCCCCGCGTCATTCATGTATTTTTCTAATTCTTTCAAGTTTGGAATTGCATCCATTCGTGTAAGAGACACTAATGCTTGAACCAAACAACCAGTTCTAATTGGATAAGCATCGAACTAAATTGAAAATCACCCAACCAATTAAAATTAAAAATATGTTGATTAACGCTCTTTAGAGATATTGGAAGTTTCAACCGCTAGGATTTTTTCTTCCGCTATCGTTTTTAACGAGGAGCGGTCGCCGCAGGCGGGCTTAGGCATACAGGGTTTCTTCTTCCGCCATCAATTGTGCGGTTATTTTTCTTTTTTTGCTTTGATGAGATTAAGTAGAGGGAATGAAGATGGTGTTTGGTCTCCAGCGGCGGCCGAAGGTTGTGCAGGGGCGGAAGATGGATGCTTGGTCTCCGACGGCCAAGGATCATGTACGAACCGTGGGGCTAGAGGTTGGAACAGATCTGGATTCAAGATCATCAGTGTTAGGTAGGGGTGGACCCGGGCCAGGCCGGTTCCGGTTCGGGCCTAGGCCCGTCCGGGCTTTTATCTAGGAAAGGTGGCGGTTCCGGGCCGGGCCGGGCCGGTTCGAGCTTATTTTTTTCTTTTGATTTTGTAATCAACCCCCGACCCCCCCCCCCCCCCCCTTCACCCCCCACCCCCACCCCCCAAAACACCCAACCCAACCCGGTAGAATAAAAAATTTTGAAAATAAGGCCCATCCGGTCGGGCCAGTTCGCGTTTTAGGGGGGCCGAGCCCGCACCGGGAACTGACTGATTCCGGTTGGCCCGAATCGGCTCCAAGACCGGGTACCAGTCCGGACCAGGCCCAAACAGTACCGGGCCGGGCCGCTCGGCCTGAGTCTACCCCTAGTGTTAGGGTGGCGACAGAGGGGGCTAGATCGTCCCCCTCCTGAACCGCCACCATGGAGTGCAAGAGAATTTAGGGTTTGGAAGCATTTTTTTTTAATTTTATTGTTTGCTTGCGATCTATTTTTCATGATCAGACTGCTTATTTTATGTTGATTACTTTTACTATTGTAAGACTCTTACATTATGATTGGGTGATGGAAAGCCTGCTTTAATCGTCGTTGGCTCATTTATGCCCATTATAGGATCAGTGAGTTACATTGCTCTTATAAAGGTGATTGACTCTAAATCTGGTTCGAGAGTTGACGGTTGTATAATGTATATGGTCCTTTTGTCGTTTAACTTCCTATCTGAATACTAATGTTGTGTTATCAAATTAA